GTATACCAGATTTGTGTTTCTATTTCATTTATACCTGATGATGATTGCTTGTGTTGCAATCGAAACGTCGTATGCTAGTATTTAACTTATTATTTTTCTCTTTATACGTCACTTTACCGAAAGAAACCAAAAGGGTATTTCCTGCAGTCACGAAAGCTCCAAATTAAGTAAGCAGTGCCTTATCCGCTGAGGCGGGCTTACTCGAACCACTGCCAAATACTCCCAGAAGGGCAACCGGTGCGATGCGTACCTCGCGCAGGAAACCCACAGGGAGGGCTCGTCCTCCGCACGCGTTGTGGGACGACTCGAGGCACAGGAGCCGTGAGCGCGGCACGTGCGCGTCCGGGTGCTCGTGCCGCACCTTGCTCCGCAGCTCGGCCAAGTCAAAGGTGCCGTCGGGCCGCGTGGCCAGCGTGCGCGCGTGCACCCCGCCCAGCTGCGCACCAACAACACCCGCACGCACTTCGCATCGCTGGCGCCCTCTTCCCAATCATTTATATTGAAGTATCGTAGTGTAATGTGAGCATATATCCGGGTTGTTGATGGATCACACCTCGTTACGATGATTGGCTCTACCGGTCCTGGCCCATAGCTAATGGGGGGAAATCTAGGGGCGTGGCCCTGACGTAATGGGAAGGTGACATCTGTATGTAGAGGACAATGGGGGGACGAGTCAAGGGCGCGGTCCTAAAAACGTACGATGGAGTCTAGAAGATTCCATGGAGGTTAACCAGGATTGGTGGAAAGGTACCACATGACCCTGGTATTAAAAGGGGTGGAGACGGACAACACGTGGTCAGATCTGGAACGAACGGAGGGTGAGGCCACGCTGGAGCGGGGTCCAGGCTGCCACGTGGCCGCGCGTGTCTCTCTCTCTCCCTCTCACGCTGTCTGTTAGCAGCGTGAAGGAGTAAGACAGGAGTGTTGTGAACGAAAGACAAATAAAGACCGGATTCCAGAAGTCGCTTCCACGACCTTTATTACAATAGGAATAATTATGATTTAATTTTTTGAGGCAGCGCCCTCCTATTCGCCGGGGTGTCTTAGAACGCTTTACATCACCCTCCCAACTGAAACATTTGAAAGGGCACCTCCAATGGAAGCTGTCCCTGAGTGGCACAAGGTGACTCAGAACCTGGCCTGCATATGGGCATTAGTCTGCCAGTAGGGGACAATGGCTGCTGCTGTGTGTAATCCCAATGGGGTGATTACAATGCCCTTGATTTACTCGAACGGCCAGGTGGTTCAGCGGCAGAGCGAGCGGCTCGCAATCGGAAGGTTGCAAGTTCCAATCCTGGTTTAGGTGTTGACTCAGCCCATCATCCCTCCAAGGTCGATAAATAAGTCCCATATTGTGGGAGGCCAACAGTTGGATGTACTATGGATAGACTTTCCCCTGCCAAAGAAATGTGGGAATGAATCACCCTTTGTTATGGCACAACCTGAAAGAGGAATATCACAGAACTATTTTTGATATCCCTTCCAAGTGATGTTTTTATCCACACGAAGGAACTTGTATTTTCTCACACTAAATGTTGCCAATTTTAGTGTAAATCCAAATTTAAAACAATACACTTTTTATATCTTAATTATCGTTAAATATAAATACTATGGCAATTGCCCAAGTTAAAATGTTTCCCAACTCATTCACCCTGTGTTGGTCATCCTGCTGTGCGCTCACCTGGGCGCTGGCTCCCTGCTCGTAGAGGTGAATGTGGGCCCTGTCTCCAAGCAGCATCTCGTCCCCTCGCTCCGGGCAGTGGCACATGACTGGTGGCACAGCGGGTGGCACAGCGGATGGCACAGCGGGCGACGCATCGACTCGGCAATCAGGTCTTGGGGGATCGGGTCAGTGACACTCGTATTCATGACCGATTTTCCTATCACACATCTGCGGGGACGGGAGTCTCGGTCTCACGACTGTGCACCCCCCCCCCCCCCTTCTCGACACGTAGGCCACCCTCACCGGCGATGAGGTTTCCCATGGTTCCGGACGGCACAAAGAGGGCGGCTTCCATCCCCAGCAGCTCGGCCACCAGTCCCTGCAGCTCTGTGTGGAGGGAGGAAGGCAGGCGTTCACAGGGATAATGTGTGGCAGCCAAAACTTAGTATCTAACCATGGAGTGTCAGTGACATGGCCCAGCGGAGCGTGTCCACCGCTTGTTACGGAAGTTGATTCGAATCCTACAGGCTGCCCTGGTTATTACTGCAGTTGAGCGGCAAGCAGCGGCAGGGTGGCTCAGGGTGGGCTCAGGTGGGGGTAGGCCTGGTAGGGTCAGGGTATGCGAGTTAGAGGTGAGGCTAAGTGAGCTGAAGGTGAGGTGTCCAAGACCAGCTGAGTTCAAACAAGGCTAGACGAGGTGAAATACATGTTAAAAGTAATATATATCCCATTATGTGTGTTGAACTTCTTTCACGCCGTACGTAGCCAACCGTGCTAATCACTTGAACACTGGGGGAAGTTGAACCTAGGTCTGTGAATTTGTGTCCTCCGCGAAAACTATGAAGAAGTTACATTCGGCCTCTGGCCCTAAAGTTACAAACGGAAAAGGTTTCTCAACCCTGATTTAACTCAACTGAAAAAAAAACACTTCCCTCAATCAACATTTCTGGTAACCCCAAAAACATCCATTATAAGAATCCACCCACGTTTCTCTTCACTTCCCACTCAACACCCAATAAAACCACCCATATTTCATTCAGTCCAGACATAACAATCCATTAATAACAACCACCCACACATTCACATCAACCTCACAATGACAAAACATCCACGTCCCACGTTCGCATGAACGTCGCGACACAGCACACACACATTGTGCCTTCAAAACGTCGCTGGCAACAACTGCCTGGTGCTCCAGCAACACAACACCCGTTGTTACTGCTGAAGCTGTAATAATAAACTTGCCACGTTTGTTATTCACGAGGCAACTTCATGAACTGGAACATGGGACAATTCGTGCCAGTATCAAAGTATAATAATAGGTGTTACCCTTTCTGGCAATAAAACAGGTGTTTAGATGTTTCAAACACCAAACATAAACCTTTTGCGAGGAATCATGTCTGCATATAACCATTTTGTAGTTGCTCACCCCGAGCTTATAAATGCTCTGATACTTGTCCTGTTCGCCTTTTGGCGTTCTCTGGTCTAACACTGGTTGAGACTAGGCCCTAAAAAAATTAACCCGTAAAAACTAAGTTTTTCACTATAAATCCTTTATATGCGTGGCGGCTAGAGTCCTCTCGTCCTCTGGCTTGAGATGGCTGCCACCTATGGGTCAGATGATTGTCTGCCACCATTAAGCAATTGGTAATTAAATATTTTTTTTCCCTAAACAGTGTAAAATTTTGGAAATTTCTTTTCACGAAAATTAATTGTCACGCACAACGAGTCTGTGTGCAAAATGTCAGCTCGATTGGATCACGGGAAGTGGGTTAAAAACGACCGAAAGATTTGCACGGTCGTAAGCAAGCAAGCAAGCACGCAAGCAAGCAAGCGAACTTAATATAAAGGATTTAAAAAGGCTGCCTCTGGTGTAGACCAATCAGTTTCAAATACAATGTATATAATTGCAGATCACGATTGTTTGAATGTTCACCACCAAGTACGTGTGCTTAACGTACTTGGTGTTTGAACATCTTAACGCCTGTTTTATTGCCAAAAAGGGTAAAACCTATTCTTATTTTTATTGCTCTACTCCCTGTCATGAATGTGTCTGTCTTGTTAAACTATATTATTGCCGTTAAAACGACGTAAAATTCGAATAAACCGGGTTCTGGAGTGTAGTGATTTGCTGGTCTCAGTGTACATTATATTAGTATGATTGTTCACCACAAGAACGTGTGCTTAATGCAAAATGTTTCCGTTTGACGTTTGAACATCCTGACATCTGTTTTATTGCCAGAAAGGGTAACACCTGCTCTTACATTCACGAACTGTGTCGGGTGGTGGAGGCTGTACGACACACATTTTACTGCCACGACGCCACTGCCACCCAAGCATTACTTAGCAGCGCTGAAGTGATTTAACAGTGTCATTGTTTTACAGTTTTCCAAACACAGACCCAACGGCCAGCGACAAACAGCACTTGTCGAGATGCAATCGTCAAGTACGAGTTTGGCGTGTCAGATTAACGCATTGTTGTTGTTTTCATGTGATAGCTGGACACACAATAAACAACACACACACACAATAAACAACACACACACAATAAACAACACACACACACAACACACACAACACACAATAAACACACACAACAAACAACACACGCTAAACAACACACACACAATAAACACACACACGCACAATAAACAACACACACACAATAAACAACACACACACACAACACACACAACACACAATAAACACACACAACAAACAACACACACACACGCTAAACAACACACACACAATAAACACACACACGCACAATAAACAACACACACAACAACACACAATAAACAACACACACGCGCGTGTACATCAAACTCGACCACGACATCCAAAGTTTTCCAAGAGACCCCCTCCCCGCCATGGAGGCCCCGGACCCCGAAGCTCCCCCCTAGGGCCCCGGACCCCTCGTGGTCCCACTCTGTGTGCCCGCCCGTCCCCCCTCACCGTCCCCCCTCACCGTCCCCCCTCACCGTCCCCCCTCACCGTTCACCGTGGGATCCTCGCCGTAGACATCGTCCCCGACCCTGGCCTCGGCCATCGCCTGCCTCATCGCTGCGCAGGGCCGCGTGACGGTGTCGCTGCGCAGGTCCACCACGGCCCCGCAGCTCGCCGAGAAGCCTCGGTCTTGCCTAGCCGCCCTGCCGGGAATCCCCCACCCAAGTCCGGCGGGGCAAGGCCGAGCGCACCGCCTCCAACCGGTCGATGGCCGGTGGAGAAGTCTCGGCCTCGGCGTTTGCAGCTTCATCAGCACGGCTCGAGCAGCCATGGTCGAAGCTCCCACGGGGAGCGAGACGTGGACCACCTTCCCCACGACACCGACACTTCACTGGAGGAGGTGGTCGGAGTCGAGAAAGTCGAGGTCGAAGTCCGGGGCGAGATCGACTCCCAGGGCGAGCAGCGCGTCGTGCGCGTCTGTGGGGGGGAAGAAGGCGTCCATGCCGATGTTGAGGCACAGGCACTCGAGGAAGAAGAGCGCGTAGTAGAACACGAAGAGGTTGACGAAGAGGAGGCTCCAGAAGAAGAGGGCCTGGGGCTCGCTCCACGCCGCCGCCGCTGCTGGGTCAGCGGCGTGGAGCGGCACGGCCTGGAGCGCGAACATCACGGGTCGATGGTCTCCTCCATCACCAACAACAACAACACCACCAACAACACCACCAACAACAACAACACCAACAACACCACCAACAACAACACCAACAACAACACCACTACCAACAACAACAACCACAGGACAAATCGCTCGCTCGCTCACTCACTCACTCCCGAGTTACATGCACAGAGAGTGAAGACTCGACACGCGTCTGCCCCTCGGAGTAAACACAGCAGGCGATACTCATACTCTTAGGGTTTTTTTGGTAAAGTCACGTAGGTAAAAAATACATAATAAAAATAATAGAAATAATAATATAAATTTAAATAATAAATCACGACGTTTCGGAGGCAACACAAGTCTCCGTCATCAGATGGGACCGTCACAGCTAAATTTATTGTATCAAGTGAGGCAAAATTCCAAGAGACAAGCTCTTATATACAAGTTAAGGGGAGGGGAGGGGCTTATCTGAATGTGGTAGCCAATGAATGGAACATGTTGGTGGTTTTCGACGTCCCCTCAGCAGAGGTCGCAAACGGGTTTTGATTCCTTACCCGTACCCGGCCGCACCAGGTACCCGTACCCGATACCCGGCCGGGTACGGGTAGCCGGGTATCGGGTAGGGTACGGGTATCGGGTACGCGATTGCGACCTCTGGGATCAAGCCATGTTGCAGGCGCAGGTGGGTTGATTCTAGGAACTTGAACAAGACGTTGGGAAATGAGTGACAAACGGTTACTCACCAGTGACTCACGGCCTACCAGTACCCGTACCCGGCCGCACCAGGGTCGCAAACGGCTACCCGTACCCGGCCGGGTACCCGGCCGGGTACGGGTAGCCGGGTATCGGGTAGGGTACGGGTACCCGATTGCGACCTCTGCCCCTCAGCCACGCGGCCTTCGTGCATGTGGGTACCTTCAGAGGCATCGGTTGAACACGAAAACTGCCTGTTGCTTCCGAAACGTCGTTATTTAATTTAGTTATTTTCATTTATTTTTTTACCTACGTGACTTTACCGCAAGAACCTAAGAGTACGAAAACTGCTGTGGAGCGGGTATCCACATTCGGGTTTCTCATCGGCAGAGTTGACTTGTTTAGCACGTAGGCTTTCGCGACCGATATCATTCATAATAATGGGGTCTTTGTGGATTAGATCGCGTTTTAACCCCCTCCAAAAGCTGCATTATAGAGTTGGCGTGCTTGAACCAATGCTTGGTGAACTATCGGATGCCTGTAGGCAAGCACCCCTTCTAAGTTAGAAACGGGTCCGAGTTCGGCGCAAAGCTTTTACACAAAACGCAATGATCCGAGTCATGGTGAACACAACCCTCACTCGCACCGGTCTGCTCAAATTGTGGAAATTCCACGTTCCTATGGTGGGAGCGCGTCTGTCCAGAGAACGACCGCTGTTGCAAATGAGACTATTCTGTCTTCTTGGTTCTTTCGGTAAAGTCACGTAGAAGGGAAATAATAAAAAAATAAAAATTCAACATTATAAAATACAATTCTCACGACGTTCCGGCCACAACGCAAGTAGCCGTCCTCAGGTGACAGACCTGTTCTTCACCTGAGGACGGCTGCTTGCGTTGTGGCCGAAACGTCGTGAGAATTGTATTTTATTACGTTTTATTTCTATTATTTTATTATTTTCCTTCTACGTGACTTTACCGAAAGAACCAAGAAGATGAATCCTTGCAGTCACGAAAGCTTTAAATCGAAATAGACTATCCTGGTTCAACAAAATAAGCGTGACTTGATCTTCTCCACATCGTGGTGGTGCTTTTATCGACCCCGGATGGATGATGGATTGAGTCAACTCCTTTCCAACCAGGATTTGAGCTCACAATCCTCTCTGGCTGCGATCGTCTCGCTCGACCGCTGAGCCGGAATCTTGTTTGTAGCTGATTGTGATTACAATGATTGTGGTTACAATGAATGTGATTACAATGTTTGTTATGTACAATGGTTATGATTGAAATTATTGTGATTACAATGGCTGTGAGTTGCAATGATTGTAATTACAATGCTTTTAATTACAATGGTTGACAATTATTTTGATTACAATGATTGCGATTACAATGATTGTGATTACAATGATTGTGATTACAATGATTGTGATTACAATGATTGTGAGGTACAATGGCTGTGATTTGCAATGGTTGTGATTACAATGATTTTGATTGCAACGATTGTGACAATTATTTTGATTACAATGATTGTGATTACAATGATTGTGATTACAATTATTTTCAATTACAATGGTTGTGATTACAATGATTGTGATGACAATGGTTGTGATGACAATGATTATGATTACAATGGATGTGAGGTACAATGATTGTGATTACAATGATTTTGATTGCAACGATTGTGACAATTATTTTGATTACAATGATTGTGATTACAATGATTGCGATTACAATTATTTTCAATTACAATGGTTGTGATTACAATTAGTGTTATTACAATGATTGTGATGTACAATGGTTGTGATTGCAATGACAGAATGCGTGGGTATAGCAGCGTGGATATGTTCCATTTGCTTGCTTAAACAAATGCCACCTGATGATGTGGGCCGATGGACTAAACCTTAAAATGTATCATATCAATTCTTACGTATGGCAGCTATAGGGTCAAGAGCGAGATATCAGTGTCCAAGGTCTCCTGGTGGCCACAACGAGAGGGCCTTCAGGTCAGAGAGCGACAGAGAGAATCCGTGTCGTTTTGCCTTTCCTCCGTTGAAGGGGCGCAGACCACAGTGGGCTTACTTCGTGATTCCACATCTTTGTGTGTGTGTGTGTTTAATTTGTTTCAGTTTCATTTATTTGGTATAGCCCTGTGAGCCATTCGACTCTTGAATCGGGTGCAACCGCAACACACAACAAACAAAAACATGAACAAGAAAACATCTTAAAGTGACTATGCGCAAACAGAAAAATCCAGGAAAAAACTGCAAAGTCTTCCAGAAAAAAAGGCACCGTACACCAACGCTGTGTGCAAAAATCCCAGTGGGATGCAAGTCAAACAACAACAACAACCACAAGTCAACTTAGATTAAAGCCATCATTCTAACTCCGTACTACAACAAACAAAACATGGCCAAACCAAAAAACTTTTCCAAATCACCAAACGACCGAGTGGAGTGGATACGGCGGCACAAACGTGGCTCTACGTCGATTTTGCTGTTCGCGGAGAATGAACGATTTTGCTACGAGCAAACGAATGAGTCCGTGACAACGAGGCGAAGGAGGAGAGACATTGTGGTGGTGGTGGGGAGGTTCGAGGCTTCGGCTGCACTCAATGCTCGACTCAGTTGCGCGGAAACTCCTCGAGGTGGCGACTGCGACTTACTGAGTCGTCGTGATGCGCGATTTCAACACCGTGTGCCAAGCAGTGGTCGCAAACGGGTTTTGATTCCTTACCCGTACCCGGCCGCACCAGGGTCGCAAATGGGTACTCGTACCCGGCCGGGTACAGGTAGCCGTATCCTACCCGTACCTGTATCCTTCCCGAAAAAAGTCACGTAGAATGGAAATAATAAAATAATTAAAAAAAATTTACTAAGAAAATAATTCTCACGACGTTTCGGTCACAACGCAAGCAGCCGTCCTCAGGTGAAGAACAGGTATGTCGAGAAGACATAGTCTGAATGACAAGCCCAGGCTTGGAGCGACAAACGGTGACTCACCTGTGACTCACTGCCTACCCGTACCCGTACCCGGCCGCACCGGGGTCGGGTAGGGTACGGCTATCGGGTACCCGATTGCGACCTCTGGTTCCAAGGGACCTCCCCACTCTACTTACGAATATTCGACTTGCGAACTTTCACAGATGCGATAAACCTGTCCGTATGTCCACTGGCCCGTTCGGACCGAGAGTCCCTGTAGAGCAGCGGTCGGGAACCTATGGCTCGCGAGCCATATATGGCTCTTCTGGTGACGGCATATGGCTCCCAGACAATTTTGAGTTGAAAAAAATAAAATAAAAATATCAGTTTGGAACTGATTTTAAAATACTTGTGATATTGCTTAATAATACTGTGTCATTTTAAAGTAAACAGAAATTAGTTTTGAAGATAAATTTCACGGGTCACGGGGCCTCAACGCCTGCATGAAGCTCAACCTCACCACGTACGACCCAGACTACAAGGCCATCAGCAAAACCACGCAGCACCAGAAGTCGCATTAAAAGTAATACATATTTAATTTATTATACGTTAAAAATACTATATGGCTCTCAATGCAATATATTTAGAAATATTTGGCTTTTATGGCTCTCCCAGTCAAAAAGGTTCCCGACCCCTGGTGTAACATTCATCGCCGTCGCAGTGCACAGGACGAAGCGTCCATCAACGTCAAGCGGCCAACAACATACATCACTCTCAGACGTGCAATGTATTTCGAGTGTAACACGTTTCTTGCATCGAGCAAAGTTATTGTTGAAATTGTTGTAATATATTGTTGGGGGAGGGGGGGGGTGGACGATGGTGATGATGGTGGAGAGAGAATTCCAAAGTGGAGCAGTTGTGAGTGCGTAGGTGGTTGTATGGGTGGGTGGGTGATTGAATGAAGAGTGGGTGAAGATGTAACTACACTTATTTTGACCATCTTATTTGACAGACAACTATTACAGGTTATTGATAGACAGCCAGTTTGTTGTTTTACCAGTTTTAGTTTTTACTTGCTTTCTTTTTTCACACTTTTGTTATGTATGCTAGGTGTTAGTTACAAACCGCACCTCTCCATAACAAAGTTATGCAGTCTATTCTTAGTCTTAAGCCTCACCTTACCATATTAATAAAAAGTGTGTCGTTCCTGGCCCTTCCCCCCTCAACCATTATATATACGGGGTGGTATTTATTGTGATCTCTCATTTACTTGATACAGCTGTCGTGGCTGTGACGGTTCCACCTGAAGACGGAGGCTTGTGTTGCTTCCGAAACGTCGTGATTTTTTATTTTTTTATTTTGTTTTATTTAACTTTTATTAATTTACATTTTTTTACCTACGTGACTTTACCGAAAGACCCTAGGAATATGAATAGTGGGTGAACGAGTGAGTGGGTGAGTGATTGAATGAGTTGCCAAACGAGTGGTTGAGTGGGTGAGTGATTGATTAAATGAGTGAGTGGTTGAGTGGCTTCAGTGATTTAACGAGTGTTGTTTGTGTGGTTGTCGGGATCAGTGTCGATGATGAGACGCGAAACACGCTGTTATAATACAGTCTCGCGTGGATGTTCACAGACTCGCACAGAACACCCAGACGAGACCCATAGACTCACGCGGAGACCACTAACTCAACGCGGGGGTGTTTGTCAAATAAAACTTTGCCTATATAACACAATTCGTGCATGAAATGCAATACAAAGTGCTTTACAAGACAAATTAAAAGCGA